ATGCCCACTGTCCCTACTGAGGTAAGAGCGTGGACATTGCTGTTTACAATAACAGGTAGATTGCATATGTGTTATAGGCCTATGAGTCTGCATGATTGGGTCTAGATGCAGAGAGTTATGATTCTTCTTTGGCTGATAAACTACTGTTTTCTTCTCTAAATCATCATTGCAACACTGTATGTTATGCATTTTTAGGTAAAACATCTAAACAAGTATTTTTCTTCTGTCCCTGAGTTTGGTAACTACCAAATATGTATGAAAAATGTTTATTTGTAAAAAGTGACATAGTTCCACCAGTATAGATTTTGATGTTTGTCACTTTGATGACATCCTTTCCATTCCATACTTTAAATTAGCTCAGACAGTTTTCATATTATGAAGGATTGTCCTCTGTTTTTTAAAAATATTTTTATTTCAGAGAGGTAGAGAGAGGAAGAGATAGAAATATCAATGATGAGAGAGTTATATTCCTTTGTAATTATCTTTTAGATCTCATATTCATGTCAGTTGGAATTAAGTTTTTCAGAAGCTATAAATATAAATTGTATATTCATAAGTTTAAACAATTATGTTCTCCTTGATTATGTATACTGGCAACAGTTAAGTAGAAATATAACTAACTGCTTGAAATTCTAAGAACAGCATAATAGTAATTTTCTTCTTTATTGACATGTGAATTTTGAAACATTTTTTTCTAGAAATATTCAAATATCTCTTCAGTGTCTTATTCAGCTTCCATCAAAGCAATATCTATGCTTTCTGGAATATTTTACTACCCATATATAGCTGCCACAAAATGGTATGCCTCTCTTGAAAGTTACAACTTTATTGAATAGGAATTCTTAGTTGTTTTCATACAACTAGGGATAAAAATGTGTTACTAATGGGTCATAGGAGGAAAGGGTATTTGAACGTAAACTACTTTTCTATTTTTTCATATTTTGAAGCAGGATTGTCCCTATCTTTCTTTTTTTTTTTTTAAGTATATTTTATTGATTTTAGAGAGGGAGAGCCCATAACCTGGCATGTGCCCTGACTTCAAATCACACCAGGACTCCTGGTTCGTAGGTCATGCTCAGCCACTGAGCCACACTGGCAGGGCTGTCCTCTGTCTTAACAGAAAGCCTCTTCATTCTCCTAGAGCAGGGGTGGGGACCTTCTTTCTGCCGAGGGCCATTTGGATGTCTATCACATTATTGGTGGGCCATACAGAATTATCAACTTAAAAATTAGCCTGCTATATTTGGGCAAACATTTAATTTACCCCTAATGCCTTGTCAGGGCCACACCAAATAATTTTGTCCTGTGGGCCAGACATTCTGCACCCCTGTCTTAGAATATGACAATCTTTAAAACCAGCTGTAGGTTGTTATAGGGAAGAAAAAAAATAATTTTATTTCTACGCTTCTGAGTTAGTTCTTAGCTGAGATGCCTGTAATAAAGATGGTTAACAAGATAAAAATCAATTTATTAATATGTATATATCTCTCATGGAAGATACCCAGGGGAAAAGGAGGGACTCAAAAAGACAATTGGGTTCCTTTTGGAGGATCTTCGGGCCGATGAATGGAGTTCAGAAAAGTCTCTCTCTGCATGCTTGCAGCTCAAAATAATGTCAAAGCAGCACATTTTGGAGTGGCATGTCCTGAAGTCCCAAAGTCATATTTTGGCATACCAAAATGTGGCACACACAGTATTTACTTCATCCGGTTGTTTATCTCAGTTATTTGCATGTGTAGAAGGCACTAGAGTGATGAAAAGATGAAACAAACATTGTGTCATATGTAGTGTACCTTTGAGTACTTAAGTGTTCTCCCCTAGCAGACAAGGTCTTCATTTCCCCCTCAGTTCTACTTTAGAGGGAAAATAAAGTATAGGTATTCTGTGTGGTAATTATATATTTTGTTTTTGTTGAGGTCTACTGTCTACAGGCGAAATGCTTAACTGTATTTGCTTTAAGTGTAATAAGAGCTCTTATCTATTTAGTATTGTATTTGGCAAGTCCTTTATGTAGTGGTCCATCCTGCCAGTGGTTCAAACCAAGTATTATTAAACCAAGTAGTATTGTCATTTGCTTTTCTCTTGCAAACCTTTTTCCTTCTGTTCACTCCCTCTTTATTGATGCTAAATCAAGAAAAGACTTTTCCTTAGGAAGTTGTTAGCATGGGAAATGTTTTGAGAAGATTACTTACAAAGAATAGAATAATGTCTCTTGAGAAGTTCATCATCTATTGCCTAGGCACTTGTCTTATTCAAATAGGCACAAGATTATAATGAAACATAGCTTCGAATATTATGGTATAGGGCTTTCCTGAGGTGTGATGACCAGAAATGGAGGAGCCATTTTTAGATTTTTGGAAGAAGAGATTATAGATCTTTAAGTTATCATATATATTTTCTGTTAAGCATGATAACAATGTATAAAACCAATATTTAATATATTTTTCAACTGGTAAAAGTATATTAAATAATATCTAACTCAGTAGTTAAATAAAATATAGTTACTTTTAGTCACCAAATAAGTGATATATTTAGTATGACAAACTATAGCACAGATGTTTCACCAATCATTCTGGTAATTTCCAGATTTTATGTTGAGTTTTGGACTTATTGATATGGTCTTTTGTTTTGCTTAGCTTTTATTGTTTTAATTTTTATTTGAGCTACATTTGACAAAATAAATTTTATGAAATGATTTGCCTAATAAATTTATAGTCATTAAGTAGCACGGAGTTGAAATAAGTAGAGACTTTCTCTTAATGTCAACAATATTTGTGTATGGTGCTGGATCTTCTCTTAGTTTCTAAGAGCAGTTAAAGTTTTTTTCTAGCCCTTGTGATAAAATTTGCAATACTTTTTTAATTAGACCATAGTAGAAGCAGAGTAACAATTTGATGCCCTTTTGTTGGACTGCCTGGGTATGAATCCTAGTTCTTCCAATTAAATATATGTTAGTAGTAGTGTTGAGCTGGGAGATTGGGGGACTGACTAGTGCAGGAACCAGTCAAACAGAAGGAATGCCATTTATGAATAAAAAATCTTGAGAGGGCTCTTCTTTATGTGCCAAGAAGTAACCATTTTTTTGTATGAGGGAATGTCCTAGGCAGTGGTGTGGGTAGTGGAGAGGACATTCAGGGGGTTTGGGCAGTAGCTAGTTACCAACCACAGTGAAAGTAATTTAGTATTGTGACAGCTAACATATGTGTATTGGTGTATACTAGCTGAATGTAAGCCTGAGGTGTGTTAGGCAAGGGAGAGAATGAAATGCAGAGATATCTGAAATGTGACATTATGTGTCACATTCCAAATATCCACCCATTTGACAGTTGTGTACTCTGTTGTCATCTTGTTTCTTCTCTTCTTAGTCTGTTCATCTTGCCCTGTCTTTCTGCCTGAAACATCCCTTCCTAGTATACTTGGCAGTCATCTTAACATAAAGGGTTACTCTATGACTAGTTGATGTCACACAATTAATGGTTTATTCAGAACCAGGTCTTGCCAGTAGCATCTTTGGAAAAACAAAGGATAAAAATATCATCGCACATTTAAACTCCTTTAAAGTTGCCTTGTGGTGTTTATATAGCATCACTTAGCTTGTCAAGGAATTTATGTTCCTAGTTGATTTACCAATGTATTAGTTTTCTGGAGTTGCCATAACAAAGAACACAAACCAGGTAACTTAAACAATAAAAATTGATTGTCTCATAGTTCGAGAGGTTTGAAGTCCAAAATCATGGTGTCAGCACAGTTCTTCCTTCTGAGGGCTGTGAAGGAGGAATCCGTTCCAGGCCAAGTTTCTAGTGCTTTCCTGGCAATCCTTGTTTTCCTTGGCTTGTAGATGCATCACTTCAATCTCTGCATCCATCTTCGCATGGTGAAAATGTCTCTCCCTCTGCATGTGCATGTCTGTGTTCAGATTCCCCTTTCTCACGGAGCATCAGTCATACTACTTAAGGCCCACCCTGATGACTTCATGTTAACTTGACCATATCTGCAAAAACCCTGTTTCTGAGATGTTGGGGGGTTAGCTCTTCAACATATCCCTTTGACAGGACACAGTTCAATTAATACACCAGAATTAAGTTTTTGTTTCAGCAATAGAAGTTTGAGGATATCTGTCATATTGTTTTTTTTTGTCATTGATATGTTTTAGATACCTCACATTTTTCTTAAATTCTAAGAATATTTTTTTTCTTAAGATATTTATACTAGAGGCCAGTAGTCACCTAGATTATCTGCTAAATATATTGTCTATGAATATATTTTCTATGGATATATTTACTACTTTGTGCAAACATTTTAGCTTTTGAAATTTTTAAAAAATATTTTTAATTGATTTTTTACAGAGAGGAAGGGAGAGAGATAGAGAGTTAGAAACGTCGCTGAGAGAGAAACATTGACCAGCTGCCTCTTGCACACCCGCTACTGAGGATGTGCCTGCAACCAATGTACATACCCTTGACCGGAATCGAACCTGGGACCTTTCAGTCTGCAGGCCGACGATCTACCACTGAGCCAAACCGGTCTCGGCTAGCTTTTGAAATTTTAATGTAATTAAATGATGATGAATGAAAATTTGAAATCTGAATGCTACAGGCACTGTTTTTATTTTCTTTTGGAAACCCTTCTGATAATGTTTGTCTAGTCTAGACATTGTATATTCTTTTACTACACTCCTTCCTTAGAAAATGATGAATCTCTTTTCCAGAACTTCCACAAGAAAATGAAGACAAGACTTTATATATAGTAATACAATAAGCCAGATTAAATGTTCTATTGTCACCAGTTCTTCCTTAGGCTTGTACATTTACTTTGGAACTTCCTTGATGGTTTTCAAGTTATGTTGTGTTCACAAGTGTGATTTCAGATAGTCTTAAAATATTTTTCAAAGGTGGAGTTCTCCCTTTTTTAATGAAAATCATTGGGAAAATACTAGATGCTATATAAATATTTCCTTTAGACACTTTTAGAATACTAACAGTATAAACATGTTTGTGCAGGTTTTGGCTGGATCATCTCGTCAAAGTTATTCACCTTCTGGCTATCAGGATTTCACAAAGTGGGAATCAGTGTTGAAAATAAAGGAAGGATTACTGAGGCAGAAAGAAATTGTAATTGATCGGTGAGTCTTTTTTATTTAAATTACTAAATATTTCAGGCACACAGAAATGTAGATTAGAAAAAATACCTTGTATCCACTATGTAGAGTTTTAAAAAATAGAATTTTACCAAATATATTGTCTGTTTTCCCCCACTCACAGTCCTTTTAATAACCACACACAGAACTATAGATTGGTTGGTGGGTCGATCTGTCTGTCTTCCACCACACTCCCAGTTACATTAGAGTAATGCATTATTTGAAAACTCATCTTTGTACATGTTGCAAGTTAGCTGCAATGTTAATGAGCTATCAAAGCTGCAAGTAAATGTTTGTATTTTACACTTAGGAAATATCAAATTGGAAAGCTACTTTAATATCATTTCCTTTAATGTATGTTAGATATGAAGGCACAGAAACTATGAAAATCATGAATATTTAAAGTAAATGACTTACAGATAAGAATTTTGGATATGGGTGTATATTCCAAAAAATTTGTATGTTTGAATACCAAAGCTCTGAAAAAAAAATTCTGATATACTTAAGTTTTCTGATTATTTTGAGCAATAAACTAATATTATTTAATTATATTATCTGTGATATGTATTGGTTCTTTGTCATTTATGCATACTTTTGAGATAATTAAACGTGCTCAGTATCATGGTGGTTGGGAAATAGTTTGAGGAGGTGTTTAATCAATGCTAGTTACACTTATTTTCATGTGCTTATATGAGATAAAGTAGTAAACATTTAGCTTTAAAATTAAACACTAATTCAAACTTTTAACTATATTTAAGAATTGAAATTTTAAAAGATTTTACTTAGAAAATAAAGACCTATTGGAGGATGAACTAGAGCATAGACATCTGGACTTTTTATTTTCTATTTTCTCTTGAACAGAGCTTGACATATAGTATATGCTTAATGCTTGATAATGAAGATTCTAAAAGGTAGTTTTAATTGATTTTATGAAAAAGCTTTAAAAGTACTTGATATTTCTGATACAAGTGAATTTTGTACCTATGAGTAGTTACAGACCCACAGCTGGTATATATTTTGAATACTTATAGTTTAAGCTTAGTGCATTGTATAATCCTAAAATTGATGGGTCTTGGCATCATACTTTAATTTTTTAAAGTTTATCTTACAATTACAGTTGACAGACAATAATATCATATTAGTTTCAGGAGTATAAAATAGTGATTGGACATTTATATACTTTAAAAAGTGATTACCCCAATAAGTCTAATACGCACCTGGCACCATACATATTGCAATATAATTGACTATATTTTCTTTGCAGCACTTTTTAAAAACATGTTTTATACTGTGACTTCAATTTATGTTTTGCAGGCAGAAGCAACAAATTACTCACCTACACGAGCGGATAAGGGATAATGAATTACGGGCACAACATGCCATGTTAGGACACTATGTAAATTGTGGGGATTCTTATTTGTCTAGTTTGCAGGTAAGATTACAGAGGATTCTATAGTTGTTTTATTAATATGGCATTTTAATTTTATACTTAGACTTGTTTGATGAAGAGTAGCCACAAACTTTCATTTGTAAAAAATGCAGTAACGGCCAAGTATAATAATGACAGGAATGATAAAATGAGGTATGCCTGTTTTTTCTTTGGAGAAATGTCTGTTCAAGACTTCTGTCCAATTTTGAATTTTGTTGTTTGTTTTTTTGATGTCCAGTTTTAGACGTTCTCTATGTATTCTGGACATTAAACCTTTATCAGATATACAATTTGCAAACATTGTTTCCATTCTGAGTTGCCTTTTTACTCTGTTGATAGTGTCTTTTCATGTACAAAATATTTACTTTTTATGAAGTTCAATTTACTTCTGTCTTTCGTGTCATATTAAATAAATCACTGCCAAATCCAATGACATGAAGCCTTTCTGCAACTTTAGGTCTGACATTTAGATCTTTGATATATTTTGAGTTAATTTTTATGTGTGATGTTAGATAAGGATCCGATTCCATTTTTTTGCATGTGGACAATCCAGTATTCCCAGAACCATTTGTTGAAAAGACCGTCTCTTCCCCATTGATGGGTCTTGGCATCTTGTCAAAACTCATTTCACCGTATATGTGAGGGATTGTTTTTGATGACAATATTTTAATAAAACTACAGTTTATTTTTATAATTTTATTATTTTGAATAAAGGCTTTACTTCAGTAATAGAATTATTATATTACCAATGATATGTAAAACATAATGTGTACCCGAAGGCTGAATGAAATCCTTTGTGACACAGCATCAGGCCAGTAGAGGGCTCTCCAAGCCAGTCAGCCAGGACAGATAGAAATATGGAAAAGGGGCTAAACTACTAAAATTATTACAAGGATTTTAAATTATGTGGATAATCAAAATATTGTTGAGAAATTTGATTTTAAATGATTAGGGAAGTTAATAAAAGGGAGATACCTGAAATATTAACTGGATAGATATAGAGAGCTGATTAAATGGAAGAGGTTAGAAGAAACAACAAATATGATAAAACATTTATTTAGCAAAGGGGTTTTTACCTCGAATCTATGAACAACTTTAATTTTAATGCACAGCATTTTGTATATGTACATTTTGCGGTTCATAGCTTATTCACCCTAATTCCATAACACAGTAAACAAAATAATACCTTTAATATTCTGTATATTCTAGGTTAAATAAAATAAGTTTTTGAAATAAAATAACATTCTTTTATGAATTTAGAGGTGAAAAACATGATCTTGAGAAGTAATTTCTATTTGCACATTGAAAACTTTTAATAACTTTACAGTCCTGATGATCTGAGACGTAGGCATCACCAAGTCTCAGCAGCAGGAAATGAAAACTAGGTCTTTATCCTGAAATTCAAACTTCCTAGATTGTTGGAATGGCAGAATTGGTATAATCAAAGTGATTTGTACTATAATGCTTTATACTAAAATTTCAACCTGTAGTTAACAGGACTTCATGGAAAAACAAAACAAAATGTGGACTCTTTTGTTAAAGAAAGAAAGAAGACAGGCCAAATACCAGGGAATTCATAAACTGCCAGGAAGTTATCAAAAAAGCCAGGGAATTTACAAAACATAGTTCACACTCTTCTGAAATCATGTTACTTTCTTATTCTAAAAACATCACTGGCTTTCCATTTTCTGTGAATTAGGTTAAACTCTGAACCTTGCTATTCTACAATATGATCCACTTAGATTTTTAAATGTTTCTTTATACTCCCTGTTCTTATAAACTATACATTAAACAGACATGAGTATTCTCTGCATGTATTCTATTCCTTGCCTTTTTGAAATGTTCTTTTTTCTTTTTTCTATTCCTGCTAGAATCTTTTCTATTTTCAGAATCTATCTCGAAAGCCACTGTCCCAGTAAACCCTTTTTTCTCATTCTCCCAGTGTCTAACTTTATCCTTACACCTCCTGAGACTTTGCACTTAACATGGCTTTTCTTTGTCTGCCGCATTATATTGTGTCCATTATATAATTATATAAGGTTTCTTTTATTCCTTTCATTATAATCTATAATAATAAAAGCATAATATGCTAATTAGACTGGACAGCCAAATGACCTTCCGTGTCATTCTAGACATCCTTCCTGATGAAGCTGTGGCAGCAGGGACAGAGGCAATTAGGGGTGATCAGGCAGGCAAGTGAGTAGTTAGGGGGATCAGGCAGGCAGACAAGCAGAGTGATTAGGGGTTATCAGGCAAGTAGGTGAGTGGTTAGGGGTGATCAGGCAGGCGAGTGGTTAGAAGCCAGTGGTCCCAGGTTATGAGAGGGATGTCCGACTGCTGATCCTTGTGACATAGGGCCTAAGTTGGTAGTCAGGGGTCCCAGATTGCAGAAGGGTACAGGCTGGGCTGAGGAATCCTCCTCCCTTCCCTGCCCCCATTCACTGGGCTTCTATTTTCAGTTAATAAAAGGCAGTACCCGACGTTGTCATCTTTGACTTATCCTGTACATGATAAATCTATTTATATGCTATTTTATTGCATCTTCTCCTTTGGGGAATGTTTTTCTTTTTTCTTTTTTATTAATTCGATTATAGACTTTATACAGATTTCACTTTTTTTGGAGTGAGTGTGTGTGTCTTGAGTGTCTGATTTCAATTCCAGGATCTTACTCAGGGTCTCACACAGCTGGCTTGCTTTTTTTTTTTTTTTAAGAGGTGTTATAATTTATTTTCAGATGTAAAATATGATTTTTATGTAGCTACCATTAGTTTTATTTTAATTTAAAAACTATTTTAAATATAATAATATATGTAATAAATCTTAATATTTCAAGAAAAATTATTTTACATATAATAATATTATAGGCAATAAACATTAATATTTCAAGAATAAAAGGATTTTAAGTATAATAATATTATCAAACTGTACTAAAATAGTATGATATCACAAAAGTTGTAGGAAATATGAAAAATTTTCAAATAACAGGATTATTTCTATTATATTCTAAAATATTTTTCCCCTCTGGCTCTATTTTTGTTCATCTGTTTATGTTGTTCATTATATTCCACAATTGAGTGAGATCATATGATATTTTTCTTTCTCCGACTTGCTTATTTTGCTTAGCATGATGCTTTTAAAGTCTGTTTAGTCGGATATGAGTATTGCTACTCCAGATTTTCTTTTTCTTTTCCATTTGCATGGAAGGTTTTTTCCATCCCTTAACTTTCATCCTGTGTGTGTCTTTTGTTTTGAGGTGGTCTCTTGTAGACAGCATATAGTTGGGTCGTGTTTTTGTATCCATTCACTACTTTATACCTTTTGATTGGAGCTTTTAATCCATTTAAGTTATTATTTAATAACATTTAGGTTATTATTGAGAGGTAGTTATTTATAGCATTTTAATTCTGTATGGCTAGGTTTCTCTCTCTGTTTCTTCTTCTCAGCAGTCCCTTACAGCAATCCCTTTAGCACTTCTTGTAATGCTGGTTTGGTCGTGATGAGCTACGTTAGCCTTTTTTTTTTTTTTCTGGGAAGCTCTTTATTTCCCCGTCTATTTTGAATGATAGCCTTGCTGGATATTGTAATTTTGGTCTCATATCCTTGCTTTCCATTACCTTGAGTACTTTATGCCATTCCCTTCTAGCCTGTAGAATTTCTGATGAGAAATCAGGTGTCAGCCTTATGGGAACTCCTTTGTAGGTAACAGTTTTCTTTTCTCTTGTTGCCTTAAAATTCTTTTTGTCTTTAATTTGAGGCAGTTTAATTATGATGTGTCTATGTGTGGGTCTGTTTGGGTTGTTTTTGTTTGGGGTTCTCTGTGCTTCCTGAACTTATATGACTTTTTCCTTTACCAGGTTAGGGAAGTTTTCTACCATTATTTCTTAAAACACCTCTATTCCTTTTTTTCTTTCTGCCTTTTTTGGCACACTATTCTAATATTGTTACATTTTACATTGTTCCACATCTACCTTAAGCTGTCCTCCTGTTTTTTAATTGTTTTTTTTTCTTTTTTCTTTTTGGTTCACTAATTGAGTGATATTTTCAACTCTGTCTTCTAATTCTCTGATTCCATACTCAGCTTCCCCTAATCTGTGTATTCCTTCCAATGTGTTCTTTACTTGTGTTATGTCATCTTGATCTCAGACTGTTCTTTTTCATAGTTACTATATCGTTTCATACTGTTGAGCATTTTTAACATCATTACTCTGAACTCTGTTTCAGATAAATTTCTTATCTTTGCTTCATTCATCTCTTCTAGAGAATTAGCTAGTTCTTTCACTTGGGGGTTGTTTCTTTGTTTTCTCATTCTGGTTGTCTGGCTGGGTTTGTGACTATGTTTTAGGTAGATCCTCTATATATCTCAATCTCTAGTGTTAAAACCTTTGGGACAGTTTGAGTTCTTCAGCACCTCACTTGAGTTTTTATTTATATGCCTATCTAGAAAGCCTTTCCGCAGCTACTACACATACAGCTATTTTAGCTGTTTGTCAGTTTCATTGTGTTTTAGTGTGTGACACTTTATTAAAAGAGGGACAAACTGGAATTTATGCCAAGATCTGTTTATTGCTAGAGTTTATATGTACTCTCCCTCATTTCCAATTTCTTTTCATTTATTTAAGACAAATAAGCTTTTAAAGTCTTCCCTGTGTTTTTCCCCTAATAGCCACAATATGAGAGCACTTCATCCCAGAATCCATTTTCAGATCCATCAGTGTCCAATTCCCAGCAAGAGGAACTTGAGCAAAAGCTTGCATCTACTGAAAAAGAGGTTTTACAACTTAATCAGTTTCTCAAACAAAGACTAAGCCAATTTAGTGAAGAGAAGAAGAAATTAGAGGAAAAGGTAAGTATATTTAAAGAAGTTAAGTTAGGCCAACAACATTTCTTTATTATGCATGAGCGAACCCTATCAGAAGTGAGCAAAATCTTTAAAAAGTTCATTATTGTGGAGAGAGGAGGGAGATAGGAACATGCGTCAGAGTGATATAGGGGCAGTGCTTGCCTGTCAGTCTAGCCTGGAGAACAATAATCAGAGATATTGAAGATGTCAGAGCGGGTGCATGATGAAACGAGTTCCTAAGAGAAATAGGGAAAGGTTGGTAACAGACAACAAGGTGGAAGATGCACTCTTGGGAAGGAAGAGGAATTGCCGTCTGTGGAGTGAAGCATTGAAAAATGGAAATATCTATGCCAGGGAAACTTGAGGAAGGGGTGAATGTAGAGACTAAAGTTTGTATCAGAGAGCATGGAGATGAGTTTCCAAAGGGAGTGTAGGAGCTGGAAAATACACTCATTGATGTATTTCCAACTAATGCATCAACAACTACACAGCACTTTGGGCCCACATGAAATTGGATTGCATTGTTTTCTTCATGTATTTTCTCTAATGCTGATCAAAACTGATTTTTTTTTTTTTTTTTTTTTACCGAAAAACATTTACTGTGTTAATAATAAGCATCTACCTAATAAAAGAATAACATGCTAGTTGATGTACCTTTGCAATGCTCACTAGCCAATCGGGAGTGAGTATGCACGTTAACCCAACAAATATGGCGGGTTGATTTACATATGCGGCTGCTATGGGCTTGAGCAGTGTAGGAAGACGGAAAGGTGGCTCAAAGGCGGCTCCAGCCAGAGTGAAAGCAGTGCTGGCAGCCAGGGAAAGGAAAGCCCATTCTGGCACGAATCTTCGTGCATCAGGCTTCTAGTAATAATAATAAGAGAAGTTACTTTTTAGTGAGCTCTTATGTGTGCCGGACAGCATGTTAACGTGCATTCAGGGCGTTTTCTTATTTAATTCTAACCTTCAGAAAACCCTATGAGCTATATGCTATGCCCCCCATTTTAAAAAATGAGGTATCTCAAGCTTTGAGAAAAATAATTTGAAAAATTTGTCTAGTTGCATGTGAATAAAAATTGTCAAAAAGATAGGAGTAAAATTCAAGACAATTTAACTCCACAGCTAATGCTTTGGTTGTAACAATGATTTGTAAAACATTTACAGAAAAACATTTCCTCACTAATCTGTTTTGTTCTAATTATTGTATTTAAAATAAAGAAAAATAAATTTGTTTGTTAACCTCTTCTAAAACAGGGCTGGCCCTCCTGTTGCCTTCTAAGAATGATCTTAGTGTTGCATAATACTTTCTGGAAGGAAAAACACTTAACTTTTATAAATAGAATAGGAAAGATTTATTAGTGATGCCTCATTTACCTGGGATAATTACTGGAATTCAGACTTCAGTAATCTCTGTTAACCTGAAGCAACAGAAAACTTTGAAGTTAAAAGAATAAAATAAAACTAAGAGCTTCTCATTAGTGAGCATGGCTGAAAAAAACACAAGAACCAGTGGTTATGGGTTATCAACTTGTAGTCAACAAATAACAGAGGTTACCCAGCAGGAGAAGGTTGACAGAGATTTCTGATCAAGGGCAGCAAGGTTGGCACCATAGCAAAGGCAGTTGACCAACCAAAGAAAAAGGAGAAAATGAGGACTTCTTTGCATAGTAGACCACATGACTGATGTGTTCCAGTGCTGCTTTTTGAGGACATCACTGTGCCATGTTTAAGACACTTAAACAATTAAGTGTAAATTCTGGAACACTTAGTAAAATAGACTGGTAGTTATATTTACTTCTACCATGTTTCCCCGAAAATAAGACATCCTCTGAAAATAAGGCCTAGCGCATGGGAAGATAAGACATCCCCTGAAAATAAGACCTAGCGCAACTTTGGGAGAAAAAATTAATATAAGACACTGTCTTATTTTCGGGGAAACAGGGTATTACAGAGTTACTTTCTAAGGAAGAACAGGCTTTGTTGATGTGCAATTCAACACAGCTGGTTGTGAGAGAATTTATGGGAATCTGGTTCATAGTAAAACACTGAAGGGACATTGGCTTTAGTGTTCAGTTAGACAATCTATTCTTAAATCCCAACTCTGTCTCTGAGACTTGTGGTTAAGTCACAAAAGATCTCTAGGCCTCATATTCTGAAAGCATATTGTACTATGGTCTTGCAGATCACTATCAGTGCCAGCAATATGTGAGTTGTAATATATCACAAGGTAAGTTGTCATACCAGCATACTTGCCTTTAGTCCAGAGAAAGGCCCACTAAATAACAGGATTTGTCTGTTTTCCCAGTTTTGCTTTTTACTCAAGGTAATAAATGGATTCTGATGTTACTGATGGAATGAATGAGATGTGATTCATTTTTCCAATTGAAGTTGTTTTAATAAAATTTGTTATAAATTAGACCTGAAGAAATTAGATAATGCATGAAAGAAACTAAATTTTGGACAAGTGCTAGCTTTAGTAAAATAAGAAGGACTACTCCATTATACCACTAATTACTAGTTTTTATTTCCCTGGGTAAAAATGGGAAAAGACTGTAAAAATATTTTAAAACTATAAACTTCAAAAAGGATGTTAAATGTTTGGGAGACTGGTGATTTAAGGTATATATGGATATATATATATATATATATATATATATATAGGTATATATATAGGTATATATATAGGTATATATGAATCTAGAGTTCACTTTTTAGGTAACTATATGCATATTGTTTTTAATTGATCTTATGTATGAAAAAGCTTTGCAATAAGATGGAATTTCAAGAGTTTATTTTACATGCAAATGTGAAAAAAAATAACTACATAGAAATCTGAGGTCTGGCCTTCACAGATTGGGATTTTCTAATGTCATGCACTCTGTGTGTTCTATAGTAGGTGCTCACCTAATATATTTCATCAATACTAAAATGACATTAATGGGAAGGTACATCTTTATTTTATGTAATTTTTAGAACACAGGCTGCAAGTTTAATTATGCTACAATGCCTTAACAATGGTCTTCCTTGAGGTATGGATTGGTATGGCTAGTCCCCTTGTCAGTTCCTAAGTATTTAATAACTAGAGGCCTGGTGCACAAAATTCATGCATGGAGGTGGGGATGAGGGGTTGTGGTGGGTGTGTCCCTCAGACTAACCTGCACCCTCTCTAATATGGGACCTTTTGAGGGATGTCTGTCTGCCCATTTAGGCCCAATCCCAGTAGGATCGGCCCTAAACGGGCAGTCGGACATCGCTTTCACAATCCAGGACTGCTGGCTCCCAACTGCTTGCCTGCCTGCCTGCCTGCCTGATTACTCCTAATCGCTTCTGCCTGCCAACCTGATCACCCCTAACCACTCCTCTGCCAACCTGATTGATGTCTAACTACTCCCTGGCCCTAACTGACCTCCTTTGCAGGCCTAGTCATCCCTAACTGCCCTCCCCTGTAGGCCTAATCCCTCCCAACTGTCCTCCCCTGCTGGCCATCTTGTGGCAGCTATCTTGTGTCCACATGGGGGCAGCCATCTTTGGTCACATGGGGGCAGCCATCTTATGTGTTGGAGTGATGGTCAATTTGCATATCACTCTTTGATTAGATAGGATAGGGGCCTAATGCATGGGTGGAAGCTGGCTGGTTTGCTCTGAAAGATGTCCCAGATCAGGGTGCGGTTCCCTTAGGGTGTGGGGCGGCCTGGGTAGGGGCCTGTGATGGTTTGCAGGCCGGCCAGGACCTCGATGATGACCCAAGCAGAGGCTCTGCTATCTGGGATTTATTTATCTTCTATAGTTGAAACTTTGTAGCCTTGAGTGGAGGCCAGGGCCAGCCAGGGTGGGTTGGAAGCTTGGCTTTCTCCATTGCCAGGAGCAACCCAAGCCTCCTGCTCTCTCCAGTTCTCTCCAGCTCAGTGGCCCCCACCATCTTTGTTAGGATTTATTTATCTTCTATAATATAATTGAAACTTTGTAACCTTGAGCAGAGGCCGGGGCCATCCAGGCGGGCAGGAAGCTTGGCTTATTCCATCACTGGAGGCAGCCCAAGCCTTCTGCTTGCTCCAGCTCCATTGCTTTCACCATATTTGTTGGATTAATTTGCATATTCTCTCCTAATTGGCTGGTGGGTGTGGCTGTGAATGTAGTGGAGGTACAGTCAATTTGCATGTTTCTCTTTTATTAGATATGATTTTAGTAAGTCCTCCTAGATTTTTTTCAGTTATTTTTTAAAAAAATCTTTATTTTTGAAAGTCCTTCTAGCTTTGATTGTATTGCTTTAGTCCATGATAAGCATTTCCTTTGCAAGTTTGTTAGAACAGCTTTAATTATTTACAGGCATCTTCCTTTCTTAATTCACATAAAACATTTGAATATAGCTTTGCAAGAAATAAGAATTGGACTCATTCCTCAGTGAATTACTTGCTTCACTGATTTTGAAATTATATCTCATGACTCTGTCTCATGCTGAAAACCCAATAACTTTTGTCAGTGCCAAATTGTAACATAAAACCTTCAACACATAGTTTCAACATGTACATAACACTTTTGAAATGTCAAAAATAAGAATAGCCTTGACCAAATTTTCACATCTGCAGGCATTAAAACTATAGTAAATAATACAATAAAAACTTTATTACTGCTATCTTTCTGACTGCAGTTCATAAAATGTCATCAGCTGTAAATGAAAACAAAAAAAATTTCAAAAACTTGATTTCAGTGCTATGAAATTTGAAAAAATGTGAATATTAGAATTGATGAAATAAAGTAAATCTTATTTGAGTTGGTGGTGGTATCAGCTATAACCTAGAACTGTTGGGGAATTCAGTGATGCCTAAGATTAGAATGTTTGTTTTGTTATTATTTTTTCATGGCACAAACCATTGAAGATTTATAATCTTTTTATAGCTTAAAACTAGAGATAGATACATCAATAGCCTGAAAAAGAAATGCCAGAAGGAATCTGAACAAAACAAAGAAAAGCAGAGGAGAATTGAGACCTTGGAAAAGTATCTGGCTGATCTCCCAACTCTAGATGATGTCCAGAGCCAGAGTCTACAGGTAACAGGAGACCCAGTGCTCTTCTTTCAGTGGCTTGAAGCATATACTTGAAGTTAATGCTTTTGAAATTTCATAACTTTTGTAATTTCAAATTTTAGTTTTATAGCTGTCTAATTATAAGATAAATCTGTTTAATTGCTGTTTTTTAAGGATTAACTTTAATTAGAAACTGTTCATCTAAGCATGAGTAGATCTTTCTTGTTAATGTTACCTTCCCAATGAAACTGTGTGTTAACTCTCTCACTTAATGTTCTGTCCTCAAAGGTCATTTCCAAACCAGTCTGACACACATACCATACACACATTTACACAGTCTGACTTTTCCCAGCATTCTGTGGGATCTCTTCAACAAGACTTTTTTTAAATTTTTTTTTACTATTTTCCTATTTGATTTGTTTCCCTCATTCTTCTTAATTTTTCCACAAATTGTTTTTTATACTTTATGGTCTCCATTTACTCCTTCTCCTTCTTTTCTGACCATTTTCTCTTCTTAAGGATACCCCCTCCAGAGTTCTGGGGCCTGTCCTCCTAAAACCCTATTTATAAGACACCTATTTTCCAGTCTTTTTTCAAAGTCTTTCTAATCATGGCATTTTCAACCTCTGCACTGTTGACATTTGGGGCGGATAATTTTTTGTTTTAGGATCCTGACCTGTGCATTTGAGGATGCTTCACAGCATTTCTGGCCTTTACCTACTAGATGTCAATGTTTTTTCCTTCCTCCCACCCCAGACCAAAACTATCTGCAGACATTTTTAAATGGCCCCTGGGAGGGACAATTGCTCCAGTTGAAATCATTCGTCTAAGCCACAGAATGCTGACTCTAGACCTACAACACATTCTCTGTTTAAATTAATTTATAATTTCTATAACTCAGGGTGACAGGAGGAGGAGGACAGGAGTTTGCATGACGAGGAACAGCAAGGAATATAGATCTTAAGGCATGGGTTTATACTACCTGGGTTTATACCCTATTAAGCTGGCTAATATATATATATAAAAAAAAGAGAAAGCAAGTGTTGGCAACAATGATGCGGAGAGTTGGACTCCTTATGCACTATTGGTCAGAATGTAAAATGATGTGGCCACTGTGGAAAATGATAATTTTGTCATAAAAAATTAAAAATATAATTATACAATCAATCTACCAATTCCATATATATTTTTTTTTTATTTTTTTTTTTCCCCAAAAGAATTGAAAGCAGGGACTCAAACAGGTGTTTGTACATGATGCTTGTTCATAATATTATTGCAATAGCCAAAAGTTGGAGGCAGCTAGTGCCCACCAATGGATGAATGCATAAGCAAGATGAGGCATATACACACCATTCAGCCTTAAAAAGGAAGGGAATTCTGACACATGCTACAAGATGGATGAACCTGAGGGTAATTTTCTATGTAAAATAAGCCAGTCACAAAGATAAATGTTGTATGAGGTCCCTGAAGTAGTCAGTTTCATAGAGACAGAAAGTCAAAGTGTGCTTGTCAGGGGCTGAGGGGAGAAGTGGATAGGGAGTTGATAATGGGTATAAAGTTCGTTTTGCAAGATAAAAAGAGTTCTGATTATTAGTTGTACAATTATGTATATGTACTTAACACTACTGAAATGTAGAGTTAAAAATGGTTAAGATGGTAATGTTTTGTTATGTATATTTTGCCACAATTAAAAATATAATTTTTAAAAATTCCCCAAATTGAGATCATTCACCTTCTGTCGCTGTCCTCTAGAACTCTTTGATTCTCTAAAACTCTTCTTCTCCATAATTTCATCCTCCCAGCTCTCTTGACACAAAAGAGATAAAGTGTTAGTAAGTGGATGAAATGAAAAGACGTAGTGTGATTTTAACCAGTGCATTAATCTTTGAGAACACAGTAACAATTTCTAGTAGAAAGACATTTAATATTTCATGTTTTATGAACTTTAAAACATTTCTTCTTAGCTGCAGGTTCTAGAAGAAAAAAACAAGAATTTGCAAGAGACTTTGATAGATATGGAAAAAAAGCTTGAAGAGATGAAAAAACAGTGCCAAGACAAAGAGGTGCAGATAATATGCCAGAAAAAGAAAGAAAAGGAGTTAGTAACTACGGTTCAAAAGTAAGAAAGCCTTCAGTAATTCTTCTTATTTTTAAATTATATTTTTCATAAAGCATTTCACCTAAAATACATTAATTTATAATTATTACTCTTTATTCTTTTTATCTTAACGATGTATTATTAAGAACCGGAAGTACTGTGTCCTTAAAACAGGTTGTCTCAGTTGTTGTTTAACGTTTTAATGCAACACCCTGGCCTCTTGCCACCAGGAGGGCAGTGAAAGTGCTAAGTAACAGGAAGAGGGCAGCCTGGCTCTCCTGCTGCACTCCCCGAGGGTGTCCAGTGGTGCCATCGGCTCCTCTTCCGGTGCTGCAGAGGGACAGACGGGGCTGTTTGCCTCGTACCTTTCAGTTTGGCTGACATGTATTATTACCTCATGGGATCTCTGCTTTTAAATCACTGCAGTTAGAATTATAGGGAATATTTTTGTTAGTATATCTATATTCATGCTGGGAAATTAATACTGGATTCCTGAAAAAATCTGGACAACTGTGTTATATATGCATGTACACATACTCTCTTATCTTGTAAAACTTAAATTTAATAGATTATTGATCATAAATAGATAAAAAATATTCTGAAGAATGAGACAACAAAGCAACAAAAAACTAAATTTAAGAAATATATTCTCATGCTTTTATCAATTATATATAACTCAGTGTATTCTCAGCTGTTTAATGAAAATCTGATGATTCCATGTTAATATTGCTTTACTACTTTCAGAGTCTTAAGTATGCCTGGTCTTCTTTTATTCTTGGATTTCAGTATAGAAATTTCTAATTTGTGGGACAATTCAGTATTATTCAGTGTTCGTGAGCTAAGCTCCAGAAAAATCCATACATTTTGATTCTACCTTTATTTTTCTCCTATTTTATGGTTTCTTGCTCTTTAAGGGAACTTTTTATAGCTCCACATCTTATATCCTATGTCTTGTCTCAAAATAGCTTTATGACTTCCACTAATTCTACCATATATCTTTTTCTGTCATCTTACTGATAAAATGAAAAGAGGTAATGTATCTGTTCTCTTTTAATAGGGCATTATGATTATAAACTCAAGCTGTGTTGTTCTATGAATAGAGAATTAAGGACACTTGAAAATAATTTGAATGTTTGTTTTGTTCCAGTGTGTGCTTTTACATATTTAATATGATTTTATACCTTCTCTTTTATTTTGATTTTTCGCTTTTATTAGGTTTTTGGAGGACATTGAGACTGGTATTTTTTTATTTGGAAAGATTTAGTACAGTGCATTTCATAATACATTTTCCATTTCCTAATTTTATCTTGATACTTTCTGAGATGATATTATTAGAAAATTTCGCTCGATTCCAAATGAATGCAAAGAACCAGAGGTCTTCTGTAATTCTTCAGTACTTGTATGGCTCTGGCGTCACTGGACTTTGGGGGCAGGAGTTATTTCCATTTCCTCAGCTGAATGACACAGTATTCCTTAAGTGCCAGAACTGCAGATGTATATGTGACTTTGAATTATATCATTACAGTTTTTGGTTTTATATAATATTTCTTAAGTTTCCTGCTTTATGAATATGTAAGAACTTTTGAGATTTCAAAAGAAATGATGAAAGTTTTCATATTACAAAAGTAAATAAATATGTGGGTGTGATCCCTAATAATGCAATAGTTGATACCTTTGCTGGTCAAGAGATTTATTACTTTTCTAAGTGAGCATGCTTTATAACATAAAGAAAATGAGAATGGATACATGAAAGAAGACTTGCTATTTTTTCATGACAATACATTTTCCCCTTATTGTTGGCTCATTTTTCAAAAGTTTTATGTCTTTTGGAATGTTATAAATACATAGTTGTGTGTTGACTGCATTGGGGAAAAAAAACTTATTCTGAAATTGAAATAATGTGTTTTTCACTTTTAGACTGAGAAAGCAAATTTTTTCATGGCAGGTAATATATTACGAAGCAGTACACTACATTTGTAATATATATAACTTCTCTAGTGCCATTACTTACCAACACATCTGAAGCCCATATTGTATTTTAGGACTGTCAATTCTTGTCCACAATCTGAATATGGTATTTCTCTTTTGAAATTCTGTAAGCATGTATTGAGCCAAACTGAGGAAGCAAGATCACAAATGCTCCTTTTGTTTTGTTTGTTTGTTTGTTTGTTTGTTTTTTGAAAGACAGAAAACACAGGATAGCCTTAATACTTGAAAGGAGAAAAATAATGAAACTAGCATAACCCAAATAAGATGAAGATTATTTCTTTTAGTATTTTGTAACTCTTGAGTATGACCACAAACAAGCTAAAGTGGAGCTATTCCTAAGTGTTTTCTGTTATATTTTGGTTTTGGTCATTATTGTAAATGCTATAATTTCTTTTAACCCAAACACGACTATTTTACCTTTCTTAGAGCCAATACCATCCCCTCATTTACCCTTTTATTCTTAGTGTGCCAGAGGGTCTTTTGTCTTTTGTTCTTCTAAAATGCAACTGCTTCATGGCTAGCATGAGAAAGTGTTAAGTGAAGTAACATATATATTAGATTGCTGCTCTTATTAATAAAGTAGAAATGCAATTCTGCTGGTTTAGGCAACAACTATCTTTACAAACTTTTCCTGAGCTCAGAATAAAGGGCAAAAGATGTGTATTCATATTCTAAGGCTCCTTCCCACAGTCATCTTAACCAAGTAACTCTGATTTTGGTGGGGAGAGAAAAGGAAGAGGACTCAGATTTCAGAGCTTGGGTTAGGGTAAAACGAGGGCCTAAGATCTCACATACTAAGCAACTTGACTCTGGTCATATTCCTGAAAAGATGATCAGCCTCCAGTATGTTTCTTACGTTTATGAAATATAGGCCCTCAAACTTATTTATATACTGTCTGTAAGTCTCGATTAAAAAATATTATAGACCCTCAGAAGGGACTGCGTTTATGTTGACATTTTCTACCAAAGTTAGCATATAGAACCCATTTTCGTTATATAATTGTTTTTCTAAAACAGTTTGCAGCAAAAGGTGGAAAGATGCCTTGAAGATGGAATTCGCCTTCCTATATTAGATGCAAAACAGCTTCAGGATGAAAACGATAACCTGAGAGAACAAAATGAGAATGCTAGTAAGGTCAGTGCATATCTTTCATAACAACATGAAATCTATCCTGTGTGGTCATGTGTCTAGAAATATAACTTAGAGTTGTTTGATTTATATTTTTATAATATTTAATAACTGATGGAATTTTTAGTTTGCATGTTTTTATTTGGAAAGAAAATACCCATTTAGGTAAATTTAAATAAAAGCCAAATTCAGGAAATTGTATTCTTAGAAAAACAAAAGGATATCTTTTTCCTTCTTACATTATTCAAAGTCTGTTTCAAAGTTATTTATGTAAATTGCACTACAGAAAATCTTTATCAGGAATAGGAAGACTTTTGCAATTTTACATATGTGGTTATTTAAAGGATACTTGGTATGAATACTTTTATTAAAAAATTACTCCCTATTTGTTTAAAAAGCATATTATTTCCTGTGATTTCTTTGTTTTCTTGAAATACCAATACTTTTAAAAAGCAATGGGGAAAAATTGATCCAGACTGACATGTTTTCTGTGTTTTAGATAATAGACCACCAACAAGATGAGATTGACAGAATGACATTAGAAATTCAGGTAAGAAATGTTTTGTGCTCATTTTAATTTAGCCATTTGCCAGTTTACTCTTAACGGTTACACAACATAAAAATATTAAAGCATATAAATATTTGTATGAAAAGATTAATAGCACTTAAGATGAAGTTGCAAATTCTTTAATATTAATCTTTCAGTTTTTTGAACAGAAATGCTACTCAGTAAATCAGTTCTTCAAAAAATTGTGAAAATTGTCTATTCCTTACTTGTCTTTGTTTTAATTGGATGCAGTCTATCTCTACTACTAAACACACATTTAGTTAAGGTCATCATGATCTAACTAAAGAAAATGGGCCTTTTAATTTTGATTATTTTTATTACTATAATAATATTTATTAGATAGGAATACATTTCAAAAACCTCTGAGGATTTTTCATTTTCTTTCCCAAATAATCTGCATGAATTAGTTTATGAGGTGTATCCTCATTTCTGTTTGTTCACCTGCCAGTGGGAGGTCTGATAATGGTCTATTTTTAGTTCACTGTGATGGCAAGAGCCTTCTCCTTTGTAATAATTCTATATGTATTCTTCCTGTATTATCAAAACATTGACTTTAAGTATCTGCTTATGTGTTATGTAGATTTAACATATTTTACCCAGATTAAGAATGTTCTTGGAAAAGATGGTGTTTTTCCCCCCATTGTAGGCATCTGCTCTAGAGGTAACAGGGTTCCATTTAAACGTGAGCGCTTCCTCTTCCAAGGGACTGGGGAGGATGATAGATCTAAACTATTCAGGATCAGTATTCCTTGTTATTTACCAAATTGCATTTTGCTTTCGTTTTAACATGCTTTGTTTACATTTCTCTTTAGTCTATGCAAGGGAAACTTTCTGAAGAAAAGCTGACCACTAAGAAGCTGATGGAAGAGCTGGAAAAGAAAGAAAGAAACCTGCAGAGATTAACGAAAACAGTGCTTGATGTGAGTAGAAGAAATTCAAATTACTTTCAAAGGATGACTCACTACCTATTTAAGTAAAAGCAAATGCTTATTTTGTACACATTCAAAAACCGTTTTTAAATTGAAGACTTGATTTTGATGTGCCAATTAATTAAATCCATTATGTTTCTTACTAAAATTATAATAATAAGACAGACTTATTTTTTTGTCTTAGAATACAACTTCACAGACATTACTCTAAGTCAAATGTTAGATAGAGATTAGGCCCCAAAACCATCGAATAAAGCATATTGAATGTACAAAATTACCCTAGGAAATCTTTAAGGCAGATGCAGTGTTGACACTCCTTGGAACAGATTACACTTTCTTCACTTAATTACGAGATGAACTATTTGGCTTGCTTTTAAGGACATGTTATACAGATAATACTTAATTTTAGTTTTTAACTATCATACTGACATTGCCACTTAAATACTTCAGAAATGCATTTCCAAAAATTAGGGACATTTTCTTATATAACCATATCACAATTGTCATACCCAGTAAGAATAATATGTCTTAATATTTTATAATACTCAGTCTGTATCTTTGCAAATGCTTTTTATATTGACTTGAAACCAGCATTCAGTAAAGACAGTGAGTTGCATTTCATTTTGTCTTATAATCCTAAGGCCCCCTTCTCCCACGTTAGTGACTTGTTGATAAAACTGTGCCTGTTTGTCTTGTAGACTTTTATTTGTGAGACTTCTGGGTTTGTCTGATTACTTCCTCATGATGTCATTTGTCTTGTTCTCTACCCTGTCTATTTTCTTGTAAGCTAGAAGTTAGAGCTAAAGACAATCATTAGATTTAGGTCAAACATCTTTTGTAGGTGTTGTTCACATCATCAAATGATATATGTGTGGTTATTTCACTGTAAGTGACACCAGTACTCATCTCATTGGGTCAAGAGGTGACAGACTGATTTTTTCCATTGTCATGTTAGAGCCTTGCAAACAGCAGGCATTCTGTGGGTGATGCTTAGGCAACTTGGTGAATATGTAGTTTGCCAGCAGCTTTTATTTTGTTGGTTTTAGTATCCACCAGTGATCATTATCTGAGTCATTAGATGATTAAAAGAATGGTATTTTTTTTTCTAATTACATCATTCCTTTTATATTTACTAGCTGGCACTCAACTATTTTTAAAAAATCTTTTCCTCATCAACATGGCTATTTGGTTATTCTGAAATAAGTCCCAGTTGGCATGCTAATTAAACTTACCTTCATGAGCACTTTTCAGGATGAGGAGTAGATGATGACAATTTGGAGGATGAGGTGATTGTAACTTTCTCGAAGTGTAGTAAATCATGAGTCATATTGACACTTCCAATTCAAATTTAACAATTTACAGTTGTTCAGGGTCTTTTTTCCTTCTTTGACTTTTTAATTGTATTTTTCTCTTACACTGAAAATTTTGGTTCTGTTTACTATAACAACATACATACTTAGTAAGTAAATCACTATTGCTACTAATAAAACTGTAGGATGAGGTGTTCTTAGGATAAGTCTTTTTTTTTTTTTTTTTTTTTTTTAGAAAAATACATATATAACCAAGATGCTCATTATGTGAGAGACTCCGAGAAACTGACTGCATGGAGTTGTAATTTCCTCTCTGGGACAGAGGAATCATTTCCATTATTTAAATTATTTTTCTCTTTTTTTCCCCCACACTAAATTTGGTTAATATGCAAATAATATTCCACTATTTCGTTGATAGACTTAGGGGGGGAATGTTAACCTGTATGGCTTTTGAGTACCTTTCCTCTGTTTTAACCATGTTTTCTCCATCCGTTGCAGAACGAAGGACACACAGAAGAGACATGCTCTGTGTTAGATCAGGGCCCGGAAGCAGACCAGCCCAGGCTTCCCAAACGACCCCTCTTTGATTTGAGTGTGATTGACCAGCTGTTCAAGGAAATGTCCTACTGTCTGTTCGACTTGAAGGCATTGTGCAGCATTCTTAACCAGCGTGCTCAGGGCAAGGAGCCAAACCTTTCATTGTTACTGGGAATCAGATGTAAGTGGCCCATGACTTGTCCTTATGTTATTGCTAACTGTTAGAAACCTGTCTTCATGAATTAGGAACTTCTGGCTGCATTGTCTGTATTTGTCTTTAATCTCCTTTCCTACATAGACTTCTAAATCTCTGAATCAATCTGTGGGTCGTGAATGCATGTTTTTACTTCATTACCAGGACTTCCTCATGCTTACAGAAGCGAGCATGGCCACAGCTGATATGGAATGGCACCTGCCAGATGCCTGCGTACTGAGCTGTGCGGATCCCTGAGGGAATGATGATGGGTGTGGTTTTCTGACCACTCTCCTAAGCATAGTAATTCTGTAGGCTTCCAATAGGCCCAGCCATCTGCCCCCTGGGAAATCTTGGAGAAAAGATACTCACTCGCTCTCCTCTGTAGCCTTTGTTCTGTGGGTTTTCATGGCTTACAGGTCTCTTGCTCTTGTCATGCATACCTGCTGGCTTAGTCCCTTTCGGTGTGACACCCCCCCTTCCCCATTCTGCCTCTATCTTCCTCCACACAGAGTTGTGACATCTGCCTCAGGATGTCCCAGTGTCACGTCCCTTCTGTGCTGCTGTTGCAGGAACACTCATTTCTGCATGTGCTTCTCAATTTCAATATTGATGTGTTAGTCGTCTTTTAACACAGAAGAAATGGACTTCAGTTAGGAGGTAGGAATGGGGTCAGGTCATTTATGCAGTAACATGTTGTATTGAGTAATTACCTAATAATATAGTAAACGTGTGTCTACAGAGGGGACTAGGTTTTTCCCCCCCAGTTTTATAAAGATTTCACCATCTTGGATCATAATAGTTATTTTGTCAAACCAAATACATAATACTCTTGATCAAAGTGAATCACTTGTTAAATGAGACATGTATCTGTGCTCAGAGATGTTAGCAGGATTTCTCTCATATTCAGCAAATGCCTTCTACAGACCAGGCATGATAATGCAGATAATTAGAACACAGCCTTTGCTCACACATTAGCCAAATGCCCAGGGCATTGTGGTAAGTATAACTGAGATGTGCACAGGGACAGTGGAGCACAAGGAAAAGTGACTAAATCTCCCTGGTGAGGGCTATGAAGACTCCATGGAGTGGCTGGTGTTGGCTTGCATCTTTAAGGAGGGATTTGCTAGGTGAATATGGGTGGCTCAGTTAGCAATGATCTCTCAGAACAAGAAGCAAAAGTTCAGTCTCAGAACTCATCATCTCCACCATTTCAGAGATGGTCACTCTTTCACTTATGCTGTAACCTACATCTGCACACTCCTAGATAATATTTGTTAACTTCTTCAGTAATGGGGCAAGAGAGCTATCTTGATATGAATAAAAGGGGCCTTAAGAACCTTGCCACAGTCACCTCTCCATGAACACTCTTTCCAGTCTTTCCAGTTTAACCCCAGAATTCTTACCTTGTAGTTCAGCATTATACAGCTAATTCTTATGAATCCCCATCTCTCTCTCCGTGGATTATCTGTTGGCACTGTTCACCCATGCTTCTTAAACGCTCTGCCACCATGGTGTTCATGACATCACTCTCCAGGGTCTGCTGCTGCCTTTATGACTGCTCAGCCTCAGGCTTCTATGGAATTCTCTGCCCCTGAAATGCTGGGCTCCCCCAGATACCTTGCGTTGTTGGGTTTTTGTTTCTCTTTTTAGGTGTTTTCTCTGAGTAATCTTATTTATATCCTACCATCTTATTTATATCCTTCTGTTATCACTGTACCTCTGACCCATACAGACATTTATCTCTTATTCTGCCTAGAATGTCCCTTCTGGGCTCCTGATTATATTGACTTATATGTTACAACCAGCTGTTTGATAGGCATCACAGACTCATTAGGTCCAAAGCAACCCTACTCTTCCTCTCAGTGAGTAGCACCACCATCCACCCTTCACCCCAACTGGACTTTATCCTCTTTCCTCCGTCATGTGTCCCATACACAATTCCTGGCCCCTATGCATGTTGAGGATAGTTGGGCTGTGTCATTTTTATCATTCTCTTCCTGCTCCTGTCATGTATTTCTGCCATGATAACTTCATTGCTCTGTTGCCTTAATTCAAGCTTTCCTCTTGTCCCATCTCTCCATTAACCATCTTGTCCCTCCCACAGTCCATTTTTCACAGTGCTGCAGAGTGATCTGTGGATTTCCTAACACTTACACTCCCCTAAAGCATCGATAGGTAGCTCACACCTGTCTCTTCAGCCTTATTTCTTGGCACTCTCTCTCTCATAATTTGTGCTCTACCATATTAGAGCTGGTCACTGATTTTCTTGAACTTTTTCAAATTCTGTCAGACTATTTGGTTTTCTGCTTCTATACCTTTGCTTATTCTACTTCCTTGGCCCATCCATCGAACCAATTCCCTCTCCAGTCGGGGCACAAATAGGAGGCAACCAATATATGTTTCTCTCACATCCATGTTTTCTCCCCTCCCCTCCTTTTCCCTCCCTTCCCCTCCCTAGAAGATGGTGGGTTTTTTTTGTTTTGTTTTTTGTTTTTTTTTACTTTTGGAATATTGTCATCCATTAAACATGAATTTGTGTGCATTACTGTATGAATTTAATACATTTTAATTAGCAGAATTTTGAAAGGACCAAGTAGATAAGATCTATTTAATAATGAATGATGCATAATTTAAATCTGACCCCAATGGTGTTTCGTGAACAACACTGTATTGGCAATGATAAGTTGAAAATCCTAAAATAAATTTGTTCAAAAAAAAGTGAGACATTTTCTCCATCTTTTATTTCCACAGCGCTGAACTGTTCAGCTGAAGAGACTGAGCATGACCACAGCCCAGAAACACTCACCAAAAAGCTGTCCGATGTATGCCAGTTACGGAGGGACATTGATGAACTAAGGACTACCATATCAGACCGCTATGCTCAGGACATGGGAGACAACTGCATTACTCAGTGATCAAGTGTTGGTCCCACAGCAATAATGACCCGTTCTTAAATGCTGCTGTGTACGTCTTCACGTTTCTTTTTGGGAGCCACGTTGGTCTACCCCACCCTGAACGCACCCAGTCTCGTCTGACCTCTGAAGGTGCCATGTTGGAAAGTTGCAAGTAACACATGACTTGCACATAGGATCTTCTTTCTGTGGATTTCTTTTGTTGGGGGGAAAGGGGATGTAAGGCGGTCTCAAAGGGCTTATCTAATCAGGACAAACAATCATATTACCATTTGAAAATGTGATTAAGCATATAAGGGGGAAAAAATTTCTGTATTCTCAAACTACTGAGGGTAGGACCAAGCTGTGAAGAGTGCCCTTCGGATAAAGGGGGGAGGATTTCTTTTTATCCTGTTTGTGTGTGTGTGTGTGTGTGTGTGTGTGTGTGTGTGTGTGTGTGTTTATTCATAAAACAGTAAGGATTTCTAGGGTCAGAGCAAAGCTTCTGAGAAAGGCACGCACTTGTATTTTTTTTTTTTTTCTTTCGTGTAGAAGCTTGTGTGAGAGACTGGGGGTTTCTAAGGCTGGCTGAGCAGGAGTTCCCACAGCAGGCGGGTGTTCTAACAACAGCACAGGAGGCAGACCCATTGTGTTTTGAACAACTGCTGTGCTGAGATGATGCGGTGAGGGGCTGAGTTGGTTGTAGAACTGTAGCTACGTCAACTATTTATTCCAGAAGGATTGTGGATTGCCTTAAAGGTGTGAAATTTTGATGAGATCTTATTCACTAGTGTAGTAAAATTACATAGTATATATCACAAGGCAATTTAACATAATTTGAACTAATTTTGACATGTCCCTTACTATTTATGGTTTCTACTTATATGTTATATATAGATATATATGTATTAATGTAAGCAAAGCCATATGTAATTAATGCAGAATTTTAAGGACCCCCTTCATTCTTGTAAAAGATTAATAACCAAGTGACTCTAAAACAATAGCCTACTTATCCAAACCTCAAATGTTTACATTTTAGCAATTTTATATCTGTTTTAAAGTTGAAACTATTTTAAGAAAAAGCTAGCCTGTCCTCTTTATATTTGAATTATCACTAGCATAAAACAAAATTTAAATTGTGATATTTCAATTCCTTTAATTAGGTAAGGTACATTATAAATGAGTTTTCATAGAAAACAGACTTGGTCAGGTTAGTTCCATTGGAGTACATGTGTCACTAAGAAATGGAATTGTTATTTAAGTAGACATGCAGCCAGTTTAACTTTCAAATGACTATCTCCTTGTTTTAGTCGGTATTGTGGAAGGACTATATATTCTATTTCCTTCAGAACATTCATTACATTGTTTTGAATATACTTCCCTATGACAGTCATTGTCCTTTATAAGTTTCTTTGTTTTCTTGATTCAGCTGAGTCTCTAAGTCAAAATGTAAGAGGTAGATGGAATAAGGGGTGTGAGTCATGCAAGATAAGGGCAGATCACAGGTCTGGTTTTTTTGTTGTTGTTGTTGTTGTTTTTTTTTTTTTGTGAGGCTTATATCCTGGTATAAAGGCTGCTCCCAGAAGAGATTCTTCTGAAATATTTCAGCAGTGAAAGCACGTGGTGTAAGGCTTTGAAGAAGACTGCCCAGTTCAGCATTTGGTTTATTACATACAGCTCTCAAAAAGTTACTTTTAGTTCTATTGCAGCAGTCAATTATAATACATTGTGAGGTCATCAGACTTCTCTCTGAGTCCTCCCTGCTCTTCTTACCTCTTAGGACCTGGGCACTAAGAAATCAATGTCCAGTAGTGATTTTGTGTCCCTAGCCCTACTAAGGAGGGACTGATTCACTGGTAAGAACTTGGCTTTTTCATGTGTTCATTTGCTTCCTAATGTTGGTGGGCTGAGGACATTCAGGGAGTAGTAAATTTGTGCCCACAATCTGAGGCAAAGAATTCTGCCTTGTAAAAATTAATATATCTAAAAATGACCCTTTATAGTAAAGTAGGAAGAAGCATTGAAATGCAGCATGTATTTTGATACTCTCTTTTAATAGAATCCCTACCCCCACCCCAACCTTCATAATTTTGGAAATTAAGGCACCCTAAAATATAGTACTAATAGGCAAATAATCACTGATTTATTTGGGTCACTAGGTTCTTACTTAAATATCTCCTAGTTTTTTAGTATATGTTTGAGGATTTTATGGTTATTACTGTCTTAAACTTTTGGTCATTTGTTTTAATCTATTATAGATACATTTTTGTTTGTGGCTTAGTTGGGGTAAAATATTTTATTTTTTAAAATAAGTTTTCTAAACTTTTATAGAATTTCACCTAATTCATATATCTTGAGGTAAAAACAAATTTACTTAGTAGGAAATTAACAAACTGCTGCTTATGTATTTCATTTTCCAAGATATATACAAGCCATTAAAAAAATTAATATATGATAGTTTAAGTATAACCTTGAATTACAAAATGCAATCTCTTGGAGTCTAGAGTTTGTGAAAGGACATAGATAAGTGGATGGCCTTGGAGCATATTTTGGGAGAAAATCAAACTAGTATATTAATTCATCAGTATTTAATTTTGGTTTTCATTTTTCAGAAAATTTCCCTTCCCAAGATATCTCTTGTGTTAGTTTGAACGAGGGTACTCTTGGAAGTTATTACAATGATAAAGGTCTGAGGTGAAACGTAACCTAATTTTAAAATAAATCTATTTGAAAATTTCCTTAGATATGAAAACTTTTAAATTATGCTTTTGTGATTAAATGCTTGTCTGCAGTATCAAAATTTATTATTAATCTTCTGGGTTTTGAAGTTGAACTTATTCGGCCTCGGGCACATTAAAGCAGAGATGAAGTAATAGTGGTCTCTGTAAAATACCCAGATTACCTGTGCAGATCAAAGGTTGTCTTTTCATTGATGTCAGGAAAAAAAGGATAACTCTATTTAATTGTTAGTAAATTTGCAGTGGTCTTTCATTTTAAAAAGCCTCATTGAATTGACTAGATAATTTCATGCCTAAACTTTTCTTTTAAGAAGTGTGGCCCTGTTTTATATTTGAAATAGGATTTAATATTTAATGTTAACAATATTATATTTGAGTGAAATTTATTTTGGTTATGACAGTGATTAAACTGAATTAGATTTCTTTTAGTAGTTTGTTAGGGACAATCTCAAGGGCTAGGAAGTGTTGCTAAAATGGATATTGTACATTTATGACATGAATAAGCTTATAAATTAATGTGATAGGTCGACTTATAAATATGAATCTCTTAGAGGGTATTTTTAAAGGAACTACTTTATTGGGAAAACATTTTTTTCAATATCAGTCATAGTTCATTGAATAGCAGCTGAGAACTTGGACTGTGGTTTTACACAACGTAGGTCAGCTCAGCCATGCCTGTAGTGGAGGTTATTGGCATCTTCTTATATAGATTTCTATCACTGTAGATAAGTAATTACAGTAATAAGCAGTTCTCATAACCATGCTCACTTAGACTGTATCACTTGAAACTGCCAGTAGCAAAAGTTCTCTGAGCCAAAGCTAATTCATTTCATTTTCATTCTTAACAATTCTTTTCGGAACTCACAAAGCAAGAAAAACTATTTATTTGGTATATAGAGTATAATTTCCAAATTCACCCCAAAAGGCTATGGTGGTATATTGCATTTAATAATATTTAATCATGAAGGGAAATATTTTGTTTGTTTGTTTGTTTTATTTAGAGGAAATATTGAGTTTATTAGAAGGATATTTTCAAATCAATAAGTCATTAACACTCTTGGCAGCTGCATACAGAGAGAACCTTTCGTGCCTTTTTGCCTGCACTAAGCATTCATTTCTATGTTACAAGAGCTATAAGAATGTTGATGACTGTCACACCTTGTTAGATTCATTAACAATTTTTTTAAAGCAAGGAGCAGTTTTTCATTACTAGGTAGATAACTTAGTAAACATGACAGGAGGTGTCAAAATATGTCTTTGGAACCCAGCCTTTTCCCCATATTGTGAGCAGGAGACCCATTTGGAATGTCATGTGTGAATGTGTGTGTACATATATGTATAAATATTATTTAAATATAAATAAAATTCAGCATCACGCTGGTGTGATGGCAAGAGTGGTAGGGTGCTAGGTGGTCACACGAAAAGCACAGCAGAGTGTATAATCAGTCACTATGGCTGGTGGTTTTGTAAACTAGGTTCAGTTTTGAACCACCCAGAATACCTCATGTGTAAATACAGTGGTCATGACTTAATTGAAATACAGTCCTTGTAAAAAGAATGTGAAGCCACTGGTTGGCTTATGCCTTCTGATCTGTTATTCTTGCCCCTTATTTATAAAGGGGCTGTTTTTCTGTTTGTTTTGTTTTTTAATAGGGTTTACAGCTAGAATTTTGAATGCCAAAGTTCTATTTATTAAGTTTTTTAAAAAAAGTTTCCAATGTTAATAGCTAAGTATTTTTCCACTGGATTATTGTTTGTTGATGTTGGAATTTGTATTTACAGAGAAATAAAATTTTTACTAAAAAATTTATCTCTTCCAAGTGTCTAATTTTAATATAACAATGTGTTTGAAATTTCAGACTCTCGGTGAAAAGAAGATACTGACTTGTTCTTTAGATAAAAGTTTTCTATAAATAAGAGAACCTATGACTAGAAAGTGGAGACTTCTGATTCAGCTACTTAAAAGCTTTTTCTCATGGCCTTCCCAGGAAGGCACTGAGATTTTTTTATGACAGATTTTTATATGACATGTCTATATTCATTTCAGTTAATAGTGGGTGTCCCCCTTTTGGATTTTGAAAATCCCTATTTATATCAAGAGAGTTTTCTTTTCCAACAGAGAAAATTTGATTTTAGTTTTCCATATTGCTAAAAGCTTAGACTAGCAAATCAAATATTTATTTCCCCTTCTAATCAAAGTTGAAACCTGACTGAAACATGCGCTACGAATGTGACCTTGTGAAAAGGTCGTACAGTGCAGGGACCTTGACATCTCACCTTTGATGG